GAGTCTATGGACTATCATAAAATGTTAAAGTTGTTGTTGTTGTTACTGATAGGTCTATGGACCATAATAAAATGTTGTTCTTGTTGCTGCTGCTGCTGAGTCTATGGACCAAAATAAAATGTTAATGTTGTTGTTGTTGTTGTTACTGATCGGTCTATAGACCATAATAAAATGTTGTTGTTGTTACTGATGGGTCTATGGACCATAATGAAATGTTGTTGCTGTTGTTGTTGTTGTTGTTGTATAATAGAGAACTGACTCCAGTTCACGCAGATCCCAATTGGACATCAGGGCTCAAGAGAGCGAAATATTCCCTCTCTTCCCTTCCATCCTCGGCCAGCAGATGTCCCTGAAGGCTTGGGATTCAGACAGCGGATCCGCTCCGGGTTTGAATCCAAACATTTGAAATGACTCTTGAGTGGGGTTGGGATTCAGCATCTTATTCTAACAACAGTCTTCTCCTATTCCTCAAGGTTCAAGTTCATGGTCTCGAACCTCACCTGCCTGCTCTTCTCACCAAACGTTCAACCAAGCAGGTAAAGAAGCTCAATTACGCATAAAATTAGTAACAAACACGCCTTCCCATAAGATTATTCTGATAATTATGCTTCCGGCCGTGTCTCCAAACCACAAAAGGTATCTCTCCGACAATTAACATGACACCGGCAATGTTTGCAATTGGGGAAGCATTTGTTTTGACCTGTTCTAGTCCCAAAATCCCCAGAAGAATTGTAATTTGAACCCGCTCCTTTAGCCAGAGAAGCATTCTCTCCTGACGTTTCACCCACATCTATAGCAAGAATCCTCAGAAGTTGTGAGGTCTGTTGGAAAGTAGGCAAGCGAGATTTGGATTGAAGTCCAGGATGAGAGAAATAAACTGAATAGTTGTAGGTTTTTCCGGGTTATATGGCCATGTTCTAGAGGCATTTTTTCCTGACATTTCACCTGCATCTATGGCAAGCATCCTCGGAGGTAGTGAGGTCTGTTGGAACTAGGAAAAAGGGTTTATATATCTGTGGAATGACCAGGGTGGGACAAAGGACTCTTGTCTGCTGGAGCTAAGTGTGAATGTTTCAACTGACCACCTTAATTAGCATTTGATGGCTTGGCAGTGCCTGGGGGAATCTTTTGTTGAGAGGTGATTAGATGTGTCTGATTGTTTAAATAAAGAGAAATAAACTCTTGTCTGTTTAAGACTAGTGTGAATGTGAAGTGTGATAACGTGAATGTAAAGTGTGAAGCCTTGCAGCTTCAAAGTGTGGCTGATTCCTGCCTGGCTATACAGCCTTGAAAACTCACAGCAACCCTGTCAAATATGTATTTGGACGGATCAAGGGCAGAGTTGCATCAGGAAAAGCATCCCTTCTAGGTAAAATAAATAATAATAATAATTAATATTAGTGAAAGGGGAAATATAGTGAACCCCAAAAGCAGTACTGAGTCTCCCCAAATGAGCCGCTATGAGTCTCCTTTATAGAAACATATAATAATAATAATAATAATAATAATAATAATAATAATAATAATAATATGCCAGGTGACAGCAGGATTGACGAGAAGCAACTGGAAAAGCTGACACGAGATGAGGATTTAAAGATCAAACTGCAAAAACTCTGGCACAAGCCAGGTAAGGGGCTCCTAGTGGTGATTGGCACACTGGGTGCAGTGCCTCAAGGCCTTGGCCTGCACTTAAAAACAATCGGCGCTGATCAGCTGCAAAAGGCCACTCTACTGAGATCTGCACGCATTATTTGCCGATACATCACACAGTCCTAGACATTTGGATCTAAGGCCAATGTCTCTCTCCTACCTGTTTCTATGGGAATGCAGGTTGAGATACCCCCAAATGGCCTGTGCACACCCCCCCCCAAATGGCCTGTGCACCCCAAAAAACAACCCTGAGGTCACCCCGAAAGTATATATATCTTTGCATCTGAGGCCAGCGTCTCTCTCAGGTGGCATCCATTCTGGTCCTACCTGTTTCTATGGAAATGCAGATTGAGATACCCCAGAAAAATGCAGATTGAGGTACCCCAAAAAACAAGCCTGAGGTCACCCCGAAAGGATATATATCCTTGCATCCGAAGCCAGTGTCTCTCTCAGGTGGCATCAATTCTGGTCCGACCTGTTTCTATGGGAATGCAGGCTGAGATACCCCAGAAAAATGCAGATTGAGATACCCCAAAAAACAAGCTGGAGGTCACCCCAAAAGTATATATATATCTTTGCGTTTCTCTCTAAGGTGGCCTCCATTGCTGGGCCTGCGAAACCCCAAAGAAGCCAGAAAACACCATAGGTGCGATTTCACAGTGACCACGAAGGAGAAAAATATTTCCCGTCGAAACCTGTGGCGGGGG